ACTGATCCACTTGCAAGGTCTTTTTGGGTTTCTGAAATATCAATTATAATATCTATTACTGAAAAAAAACACATACAATCAATACACCTTGCTTCAAACAAAATGTATGATGAAATGTTGGATTTGCACATGTTTTACGAGTCTTAAGATACATAAATACCACAACATGTATGTATATATTAATATATAAAAGTTATATATATCATTATATAAGTTTTCAAAAATCGAATGCTTTATCTTTGTTGTGTTACTGGTTTAACTCCTTAGAATACATATAATCATATATAGCCTTGCACTTGCAATTTTTGGTAAATTTTCATAAAAAACAAAATTTGACATAGCTGTACACAGGGGATGACAAATCCCATTGCCCGACGCCCGGGGCTAGTGAAATTTAGGGTTGGGCAAGTGAAATTTTATCAACCACTTGCCCGTGGGCAAGTGACTTAATCAATTATCAAAAATAAAATCAATATCTATGCCAATATTCTACTCAGTAAATTTTTGATATATATTTATAAATACAGTATAAGTTAATGGTAGGGCAGGCAAAAATTCAGGTAGGGTAAGTGAATTTAGACCATGTACTTGCCCTTGGGCAAGTGCCTTAAAAATCTATTTGTCAGCCCCTGTGTACATGAAGCTTCTATGAGTTTAAATGAAGCTACGATGGGTGGTTCAAGCTATGTACTAGACGTATTAATGCTGAGTTATTGCATATATATGACCATTTAATTACACAATAAATAACAAGCCTTCATATATTTACAATAACCTAATAATTTGCTTGGAAATATTCATGTACATATATAAATGTTCATCACATGGTACATGTATGACATTTTTAACCCACCTGGTGTTTGTACTTTGCTTGCGTACACACAACGAATCCCACTATCTGCAATATTAACAACCTGATCCTCCATCAGGGCCACTAATGGTGACACGACGACGACGATGGTCCCTGAAACACCTTTGTATTCACAGGGGCTTGTCACGAAATATTTATCTTCTTTTAATAAAGTTACCGGCCCCTACTATAAAAATACACAAGGCCTTGTGTATTTTTATTGTAGGGGTAACTTTATTAAAAGAAGATAAATATTTCGTGACAAGCCCCTGTGTTGTATTGGGTGTTGCTAAAACGCGGAACGGAAAACGGAACGGAACGGAAAACGGAAAATATTTCTCAAGCAAATAACAAAGATTCGATATAAATCAGATTAAGAACAATCTTCTTGTTGTAAAAGTCACTTCTAATAAAAATTTATTGTAAACTATTATATATTTATGAGTCATACACACATACAAAATGGTACTGAAATTCGACCCCCCCCCCCCCACTTACACACACAAACCATTGGCGTCGGAAGAAAATTTAAAGTGGGGGGGGGGGGGGCTAAGTGCAAAAAAAATATACCTTCAAAAAAATCCTTGCAAGCAAAAAAAATCCTATTTTCTAGGGGGGGGGGGGGGAGTTTGAACTTCAATACCATTTTTTTTTTCCAAATACAACCACTTTCACCATTCTTAACCTATACTGCAGTGTGTCTGTGGAAAGTGTGGGGGGGGGCTAAACCTACGAAACAATGTTCAATGGCTATACTAAGTATATGTTTGGAAAAAAGAGGGGGCTAAGACACCCCCCCCCCCGGTTCCGAGGCCTATGCAAACACACACACAAAATTGGATTTTCGTGTTTGGGCAAAGGACATTTCCTCCATTTTTGCTCGTCAAATTTGTTGTATGTTTGTAATTTTTTCTGACCCCCACCCCCTCTTTCAATTTGTTTCCAATGTCAATGTCTGTAAAGACAAAAATAACTAGTTATGATATTCAGATTATGCACGCAGTGTCGAATTCGCGAATGATGAAAGAGGGAGTGGCAGTTTCGGGTCTGTGTAGGGACCCACAGCCACATTAAAAATTGATTTATTAAATCTTATGTTTATTTTGGAGTCAAAAAAGAGGGGGGGGGGGGTCAGACCTATCACAGCTTATAAGACTTTTCTGATGAGTGGGAATATTTACGGGGTCATTCATAAACAACTCCCCCCCCCCCCCCGCACAACATACAAACATATGTACCTCAAACAAAAAAAACAAACAAAATTTAAGTTTAAATTGAAAGATTCTGCATTATATCTTCCACATGAACGATTTCCTACTTTGTCTATCCAGAAAACGACTCTATTTTGAATAAAATTTAACAACCAGTGAGTATGAGAGATGTTTATTCGAGCTTGCCGTTAAGATTTGTACTAAACGTGATCTTAATATTTCTTTTACATTTTATTTCTCTTTCCGTGGTTCAATAAGATATCAAATATTGCCCCCCCCCCAGTCATAACCTTTTTACTACGGAAATGTTCATTCAAGTTCACATCCTCACTTTTTGTGAATGTAATTAATTTAGTAAGTTAGTGTAAAAAAAAATAGTTCTGAAAGATGTTGAAGTTGAAACTTATCCCCCCGCCCGAATCAAACAATTGTTTTCTTTTTGTGTTTTATGCCCCTCCTGAATCAAACAACTGTCTTCTTCTTGTGTTTTGGCTTGTCAAATACTTTTCAAGTTTGTTTACCCCCCTCCCCCTTTTCAAATTCGATTCTAGGTGACTGCTATGCTAGCGATTTTCGTAAATAAGAGATGAGCATGACAAATTCAACTTTTATTTAATAGTGGGGGATTGAATGTGTACAAGATATATCGTTTATGATAAAATTTGCTCATTTTAAATGATTTAATCCAAAATAATTTATTCCGTTTTCCGTTCCGTTCCGTTTTCCGTTCCGCGTTTTAGCAACACCCCTTTGTATTCGTCTACAAGTGTAGGTATAAGAGAATATATTATGGTCTTCCCGTACCCTGTTGGTAATACGCCTAGTACGTCTTTGTTGTACACAATTATGTCTTTAAGTATAACTAATTGAAGTTCTTTTAGTTGAAAATTTAATTTTCTCCTTTCCATACACACTTCAGACTAGTCTAAAGCTGTACCAAACTTCTCTTCCGCCATTTTTTTTGTGTTGTTTATATCAGCCAATGAAAAACCATACCGATTTCTCGGTAAGCCTCGACTTGAAATCACAAAAATTAAATAGGAATCAGTCTCAGACCAGACTCTCGCTCGGGCCAAGTCTCGAGAGCGAGAGTCTGGGGAAAACGAGACTAAGCCAGAGCCAATGTCAGAGCTACTCTGAACTCATCGGGTTTTATAATATGCAGAACACCGACAAATAAAAGGTTCCGAACACATTAGTAGGGGTGTATATGGCAAATACCCCTTCCTGAAAACAAACTAGTTTGATCCAAGGTATACACCGAAAGGAGATGGGTGAACTTAGCGTGCAGAAAGCCCACTAGCTTCAGACATATAAAAATCATATTCAAGTGAATTTAGTATTTAGAGTAAAGTTCTTATCATTGATTTTAATGAAATCATGATAATCAAAAAGTTTTGAGAATTTTTTTAAATTAAAATTTATTGCGTGGACCCTGAGGTCCACGCAGTAAATATATAAGCGAGGTTAAATCGGATGCCATGGGCAAACGACAGGCTACGCAGGCGCGAGAATGCTAGAGAGTTCGCACCTTAGGTAACTTGCCCGTAAAATAATTCGCCCTATTCAAATTAGAACGTTATTCATTGGAAAATCGCGCTTTTAAACCCACATTTTGCATTTACATATTCATTGGTGGATCCAAATTTCTCTCTTATATATATACTTTTATATACAAACTAAACAGTGATTCTACGGTAGAAGCATTTTAAAAGGTGGGAACAACTTGCAGTTTACTGTACAGATACACGTAACTTAACATCTTGAATGCAACGACTAGTTCTAGCTTTTAAAAGATAGAACAAGTTTTCACCGGCATTAGTTTTGTGCATCAAGGTTCGTAAAATAATTTGATATTTCAGCAATCCAAATACCGTTTGATAGAGGTCTGTGGCAACGGTTTTTAATGTAGGGGGGGGGGGGGCAAAAAAATCTGCGTTCTACAGAACTGTGCTACACGTGAACCATCAGATCTCTATTTTTCCCATGATAGATTTCTTCCGTATAAATCCAGAACATGTGTCATTCCCAACCATTATGAGTTACATGTATCGAAATAGCCCGATTTTTTAAACTGACAAAACTAAAGGCCGCTAATCGGAGACAAAATTTAACAATTTTGCTTTGAGACTACAACCAGTCATAAGTAGGCAGATCATTGTAGAAAATGTGAACAAACCTACATGAATATTCACTGCACCTAGAAATTTTCTAACTTGAATTTCGGTTAGAAAAACATGCATATGGTCCACGTATTGCAGTCCTTTTTTAAAGGACAGCAACTTGTTCTTTTATATAAAAAAAATAATGTAGTAACCATTGGGTTCGATCCCTGGCAATAAAAATCCTGAGGTGCATTCTCTAGTTAGAGTAGCACGATAACCACTACGCTACACAAGTCCTGATGAAGTGTGGCATTTAAATCATGTTTGTGATATGACCATTGACTTAAGGGACTTCAAGTATTTCTTGAAAAGATATGAAAGTTATGTCATAAAATTATATTTTTAAGGTATAGTGGGTCTTTGCTCCATAATTTTGGAAACCAAAATATGTATGTTTGTATGCGAACTTTGAGGATTAACTCTCAAAAAAGTGGAGAGACCCACTCATATCGAAAAAAAGTGTTATAGTGTGAAAAAATGACTCGTTTTGTCCTCTTCCGTGTGTGTATAGTATATCACAGGCAAATAACTTCAATCTTCATGAGATTTGTGCAAGTTGTAGAGATTTTACACAAAGTATTCTTTAATGTTAGATGAACTATTAAGGAAAACTTTGATATAATTAAGATTTAATTTTTCACCTTCATGTTTGTTGCGCTATGGGCTTATCTCACGTCATGTTCACCCATCTCCTTATACTATTTTCTCGAAGGTAAATAAATCCGGAGAAAAGTTGTTTACCCTTTTCGGTTTTCTATATTTCACTACACATGTCTGTCTGTGTGTCGTGCAATCATTGTGCGACAGTTCGACGAAAATTTTACTTTATTTGTTATTTTCTAAGTTTTGAATGAGAATTGAGAAAGAAAACCTCAAAAAGTAGACACATTTGAAATGCCAAGGTAAGGTCTTAAGTATTTTCAGCGATATAAATAAGTTTTCCGCTACGATTTTTAAAGTTCATAGGTTCGAATTGACATCAGTTTATCGAATGAATAGAGAACGTGGTAGGATTAAAGGCGCAATTTTTTACTATCATAATTTAAAATTTTCACAATCACATAATGTTAAGGTAAAGTCAGAATTATGCTACAGATTATGGTCATTTGATTGCTTTGGTATTTCTCAGATAGATAGTCATAATCCATATGGCATATGGATATTTCCCATGTCCTCCATTATTTCATGTTTTGGCAATCGTTGATTTTATTTCTTCAGAATTTTGTCTTCTCAGAAGTTGTTTTTTATTATTCAACACATATATTGTTTCATTATAGACGTGAGGATTCAGACAAGAGGAAGAGGAAAAAGTCTGAGAGCAGCTCAAGTAGTTCCTCAGATTCCTCAGATTCAGATAGTGACTCGAGCTCCTCCTCCAGTAGTAGCTCCTCAGAGGATAGAGAGGACAAAGATCAACAAAGAAAGTCAAGGTCAGGAGAGGAAAAAAGAAGGCATTCATCCCACTCTGATGATAACAGGTCAGAATCTTCATCTCGTAAACAAAGAGGAGGGCATATTGAAGCAGTGAAAAGAAGTCCACGACATGAGAGGTCTAGATCACATTCCAGTTCTAGATTGTCCAGGCGATCAAAGTCTCCTTCTGTAAGAGGAAGACTATCTCCTGCAGGGTCAAGGTCAAGCTCCAGAAGTGGTCAGAAAGTTTCATCACGGCATTCTTCATCTCAACGTTCTATTTCTTCACCTTCATCCAGACGTGAAAAGGATCACTTACAATCCCTTAGCCAAGTTTCAGATGATGTAAAAAGACCATCCTCGAGGAGTTCACAGATTGACAGAAAAGATACAGCAAAGCAGTCCAGGTCTCCCACCACTAGCCCTCCACCTCAAAAACATGACAGCGAGGAAAATCAGAAAAAGACACCACCATCAAGCCCTCATAGGGGAAGTGAAGATCGACAGGGGCGGTCTCCAGACTCCAGTCCTCCTCAAAGAAGTGAGAAGATAAGACCTATAGATGCATCACCAGAGGTACCTCCATCTGATAAAAAATCTCGTAGACATTCTTCTGACTCTTCCTCTCCGAGTCACACTCCTCCGCGTGATGACAGATACGACATGTCTAAATACGAAGAAGAAAGCGGGGCGTCTGAGTCAGAGGATGAGAAAAGGGGTCGTAAAAAGAAACACGACATGCGGAACTTCGAGAGTGAGCCTGAGAGTGGAGAATGCACAGATTCTGAAGATGAAAGGAAACTCAAAAGTTCAGTTAAGGTTTGTATCAATAAATAGTCACCAGCAGAAGGAGATTTTATAGTGTTTCAATGTATGTACTGTAAAACGAGAATATTTGGTGCACTACTAATTTTGGCGCAAGAGCCCCTGAGCGCTAAAATTTATTGTGCGCTAAAGGATTTCTAAATATCAATTTTTGTGTGTGTTCAAAGTTTTTACATAAGTACATGTAAACCAGAACGCGCGATTACGTAATGTTGAAGGATCATTGGATTTTATATACACAGTAGAACTGCACATGTTCGGAAGACAGAAAGTTATGCCAAATTATAATTTAAACTGTTGTTACCCCAGTAGTTGTTACCCGATTATTATCATTAGCACCTTCAAAGTTTGGCTTCTTGGTGTGTCAATCATCTATCGCCTCGAGGTAAACAATGCAATCAAGCATGGCGATTGAGCTAGTAGACAATGCCTGATTTATAGGAATACTGTTTTATCTAAGTAATTTTCTGTCGATGCATGCTTTGTTTTAATATGGTTTTAATGAGTAAATACTCCATTTCTTTTAATTGAAAATAGAAATTTAAATAAATTTTAACATTGTACCACGTCCATGTGATAGCAACACGTACCGCGGTAAAGGTAACGTTTACTGATATACGGGAGTACTAATGTGTTTCCGTGCTTGACTAACCAAAAATTTTAATACGGCTGTGGATTAAAAATAATATATCACATTTATATATTTTACTGACAAGCGCAAGCGCTAAAATTTATTTGCACCAATGCATTCCCACTTGCGTTTGCGCTAAAATATGTACGCGCCAAATTTTCTCGTTTTACAGTATCTGATCTGGCAATGTTATTTACAAATTTAGATTGTTAGAATGAAACCATTCCTGGATTTTGTAATCTGACAATTTTTGATACATTTATACTGTTACAAAAATTGCATTTGATTCTCCAATGCAAGTATTGTGGAGAAAGCAAATAGACTAATAATTTTTTTTTCAAACAAAATTGAATTAGATTTTTGGGGGTAAAAATAAAAAATAAAGTAATTAAATCCTTAAATAAATTTATACCGAAATTGACCATGAAAGTAAGTGCTGGAAGAATTTTAATTGTAGATTGTTTGTTATTGGTCACTGGTTTTGTTAAAAAAATAGAAATATCAGCTTTCGATAACCAGAATTTTTATCCATTTACATCTTGCAGACAGACAGTATTCCATCTCACGTCACACTTGGCAAAACACTGATACAGTTGTGCTATGTAGGCAAATTTATTGCATTTAGGCAAATTCCATCATCTAAATGTTTATGTGTTTATTATGCATGGGCAAATGTAGGATTAGCTGTGCAAAGTTTAAATATACTGTTTAAAGGAAAATATTTTTCTAAACGATTCACTTATTAAATGTATGACATTCATATTATGTGATTTATGTAATGGTTTAAGGTAAACATGTTACTGTAGTATGAATTTAAATTTTTTATAGCCATATCCCATTTGCCCATGGCTTTTTTTGTTGTCATGTGGATGCATGCCAAGGAAAAAAAAAAAATAGAGGCCCTGTCTCTAGGAATGGATTTTTTTCTTCGAGATTGTTTTAATTTCCCTAGCATTGGCTTTATTTGTGCATGAATTGATAAAATATGGGAATGACTTGGACAAAAAACCTCATAAAAGCTTAGTATAATCTCCATAGTGACATTCCTTTTATCAAGGGTCAAGGTGTAAAAAAAAAAAAAAATGTATGATTTCAATGTTGATATGGTAATTTTCTTATTGATATGACTATGGAGACCATACTATTATATTATGCTATGTCATAAGGAATATGACATTTTTTCCTGTTTAAAACATTTTTATTTTGCATGCTCATATGTGACTTGTTTAAAGGTGCATGAGATAAATACAAGTTTCATTTGAAAAAGTCTAAAAAATGATGAATAATTCAGTGCCTATCATTTTTGTACAAGTCTCTTGAAAACTTCACTGAAAGAGAAGAAATTCTTGATTAAAAAATAAAACATATGTTTTTGAAAGACTGAATCGTGTAGAATTATTTCAGAGGAAAATGGAAGAGGAGGATGGGAGTCGTAGGAGAGGTGAACGTCGGCGAGGGTATTCCCCAGACCGCTGGCGAGACGATAGAGACAGCAGAAGACGTAGATATAGTCCGGGGGGAAATAGAAGAAACGGTATGAAACAAGATATAAAAAAAATAATTCAAAATGTAAATTATGTGGCATGATAGATACATAAACAGGAATGATGTACATTTCAGTTAAGTATAATAAAAAAGAAATGATTAAAAAAGTATCAAGAATACCTTGAGTTTATTCAGCTTTCTGATTTGGTTATGTAACTGAGTGTAACAAGAAAGATTACTCAGTAATGTATTTCTTGACTTGGTAGATCGATTCCGTGAAGATCGCAGGCGATCACGTGATTGGAGAACAAATGATAGAGATCGTAATTCATTGGAAAGAAGAAGAGATGATGACCGTCGGAGATCCCCGACTCAGGATGGAAGTAAAACAGATGGCGATAAAGACAAGTAATACTGCCTTAAAGTAAAAATGTGTTTCTGTAGGAAAAGTCAAATAAAAAGATACATATATGCAAGGGTTGTCCCAAAATTCTGCATACAAACATATTTTTGTAGGAATTCTTTGTCATAAATTATTGAAACTTTGTTTACAAATTAAAACAATAATAAATAAAAAAAATTGTGGACAGTTATTAAATATTTACACAAAAGAACCAATTTGAATGCAATATTTTATTGAGAAGTCTAAGACAGCTTTCTATCCAAATTTTGCAATTGAAAATAATTGTACACAATGTTTTATATCTTATAAAATCTTACGAAATGTATTCATTACCTATGATTTCCAAAGCTAAAAATTCTCTATACTGCAATATGAATTTATCAACCCAGAAAAAATTAGAGAAATACAATAAATTTTGCTAAAAGATGTGAGCTCAGTTTAAGGAATTTTGGGACATCCCTTATAAGTATCATAATGCCAGTTTGAATTTATTTAGTGAACGAATGTAATGTTATAAATCTACAGAGCCACTGAAGAAAACCAGAAAGAAGGAGAGAAAGCTGAGAATGCAGTGAAGAAGTCCAAGGAGGCAGAAGTGTTGTCGCTGACCACCAGGACTGGAGGGGCATATATTCCCCCTGCTCGACTGAGAGCCATGCAGGCCAGCATCACTGATAAGTCAAGGTACATATACAGAAACACTTAGTTCACCATACTCAAGGCATGCAGGCTAGTATTACCTATAAGTCACAGTGAGGCAGATATATCTAAGATTCAGTTATTTATACAGAGTACTGTATTGTATCTAAGAGTTGGTAAAATGAAAACATTCTTAGTTTAGTGTAGATGAATATGCTATACATTCTCACAGTTCAAAACTACCTATAAATATTTAAGTAAAAATATGTGAAAAGCAATTGTACTTTTCTTTCAGTGAACCTTTTCAGAGGATTGCCTGGGAAGCTTTGAAGAAAAGTATCAATGGTTTGATCAACAAAGTCAACGTGTCAAATCTCCATTTTGTTGTCCAGGAATTGTTCCAAGAGAACATAGTCAGAGGAAGGTGAGATCTGTATTAGTCATGCTGCATACTTGTACTTTTTTCTCATAAAAAGGTTATATGGACATTATAAGGCTTAATTTCTAGAAGATAACTAAAAAACAGATTTAATTTTTCAGCCTTTTCTGTTTGTGACTCTATCAAAAATCATTTGAAAATTGAACATGTTACATGATTAACAAGCATATAAATTCCAACATGCCCCCCTCCCCACTTTCTCTCCCCCTTTGATTTATAATGAGTATTGATTAAGAATTTTATATGATGAGTAAATTTCGAATTTGAAGTTTGTAATTTAATGAAGAGCTTAGAGCATGCTGTGTTTTCTAGGTTAATGATTTCAATCTTTCCTTTCCAGAGGTTTGGTGGCCTGTTCAGTAATTCAGACATGCTGTGTTTTCTAGGTTAATGATTTCAATCTTTCCTTTCCAGAGGTTTGGTGGCCCGTTCAGTAATTCAGACATGCTGTGTTTTCTAGGTTAATGATTTCAATCTTTCCTTTCTAGAGGTTTGGTGGCCCGTTCAGTAATTCAGACATGCTGTGTTTTCTAGGTTAATGATTTCAATCTTTCCTTTCCAGAGGTTTGGTGGCCCGTTCAGTAATTCAGACATGCTGTGTTTTCTAGGTTAATGATTTCAATCTTTCCTTTCTAGAGGTTTGGTGGCCCATTCAGTAATTCAGACATGCTGTGTTTTCTAGGTTAATGATTTCAGTCTTTCCTTTCCAGAGGTTTGGTGGCCTGTTCAGTAATTCAGACATGCTGTGTTTTATAGGTTAATGATTTCAATCTTTCCTTTCCAGAGGTTTGGTGGCCCGTTCAGTAATTCAGACATGCTGTGTTTTCTAGGTTAATGATTTCAATCTTTCCTTTCCAGAGGTTTGGTGGCCCGTTCAGTAATTCAGACATGCTGTGTTTTCTAGGTTTATGATTTCAATCTTTCCTTTCCAGAGGTTTGGTGGCCCGTTCAGTAATTCAGGCTCAGTCTGCCTCTCCCACATTTACACATGTGTACGCCGCCCTGGTGTCAGTTATCAACACCAAGGTAAGAACACACAAGCCTCAGAAACATATACATATTTTTTGAAGCATAAAATTAAGTAAAGGAAACTTTCACTAGTCAGAAGAGTTTTCCTTTTTTGTGGCCTTACATTTAAGTATCCTTTGTTTTGGTACATGTTATTTTCATCATTTCTAAATTTTAGAGATGTGTGATTTATTTGATCTATTTTACAGTTTCCACAAATCGGGGAGTTGATCCTGCGACGTCTTGTGATTCAGTTCCGTCGTGGATTCAAGAGAAATGATAAGAATCTCTGTCTGTCGTCCACCCGATTCATCGCTCATCTGGTCAACCAGCAAGTGGTAGGTCCGCACTGTTACTAGATTTGGGGTTACATTTATAGACTGCATGTGAGAATTTTCCAAGACTTTTGATAATAAAGCACTCAAAGTCTTTGGATTCTTGCAGTGATAATATATTTCCATATATACATACATGTTATTAAGGGTGTTGTTTGTTGTTGATTTCAGGCCCACGAGGTGCTGGCATTAGAAATCCTGACCCTATTACTGGAGACCCCATCTGATGATTCTGTGGAGGTGGCTGTCGGCTTTCTGAAGGAGTGTGGACAAAAACTGACCGAAGTCACCCCTCGTGGAATCACAGGTAACTCATTACACAGCAGAGGAAGGGATAAAGAAATAATTAAATTTAATGCTGCATCAGTTTTGTTTTACATTCTTTTTTTATTTAATTGCAAAGTGATAAAGCCTGATACCTGACACTAAAATGTTTAATGCTTGAAAAATAGCCCACATAATTTGACTTGACTTGTTTTAGCGATATTTGAGAGGCTGAGGAATGTCTTACACGAGGGTCAGATTGACGTGAGGGTGCAGTACATGATAGAGGTGATGTTTGCCATCCGTAAAGACGGCTTCAAGGACCACCAGTCAGTTATAGAGGAACTAGATCTCATCGCGGAGGAGGACCAGTTTACTCACCTCCTGACATTAGAAGACGAAGGAACAGCTGAGGAAATCCTAAGTATGGGAATCAAACAAAAAATTGTATTCTGTTTTTGTTGTCTGGAAATTTTTGAAAACACATAACAGAAATTTTTTTTGTTTTTATTTTCAGATGTTTTCAAGTTTGATCCTGAGTATGAAGCAAATGAAGAAAAATACAAAGAACTGAAAAAAGGTAATAGAAAAATAATTAGTAAAATTTAATAATGACAATAATATACCTACATACTAATTAAGCTACTTTTAGACTTCACTGCATAGGTATTATAAATTTTGTATTATTGTTTGTTTGTTTTACAGAGATCCTGGATGAGGGCAGTTCTGATGAGGAGTCGGGGAGTGGATCCGGGTCTGAAAGTGACAGTGACGAAGAAGAGGGGGAGGGCGAAGGTAAATCTTAATGATCATCTCAATGGTGGATCTAAGTTATAAAGATGATTACTGTTAACAATATCTGTATATCAAGTTGTAGAAGAGAAGAACACACTGTAATTCAGCAAATTATTCACTATATCTTATTTTCTTGAGATAGTAATATTTTATTTCGCCATTTCTAGTCATGGTTGTATGTAATCTTTAAAAAAACCAGTCTCATATACATGTATTAACACAAAAATAAAGTTCTTGCAAATAAATAGTGATTTAGAGTACCGGGGTATTTGGAATCATATGCAGAGTTTGTTGGATTCAGAAGGGGGGGGGGGGTTGATATATGTGAATTGAGATTGAGGTTTGAGGTTAAGAAATTAATGGTAAATAGGTGTTAAAAACAATAGAGTGTGAATTACACTTGGGTATTTACAGCTGTACATGAATTTACGTACAGTTAATTCTCGATAAACTGCCACCTTTTGTAATTTAGAAATCATGGCGGTATAAAAATTTGGTGATGAATTGAATTTCCCATCTTCTGGAAAACAAGAAGTAGAGTTACCGTTCTTAGAAATACCATTTAGCGTTTCTATTCTTATTATTACATGTATATGTATATAATAAAAACATATTTCTGGTTGAAAATACTTCAAGTCATTTTTTAATGTACAAATTCGCTAAAACAAAATGTGCAGTTATGAAATAAAGAAAAGTACATGAGTGTGCATTTAAATCTGCAGTTCTGCTATTGAAAAAAAAATGCTGGGTCGATCGTCGTGATATATTGCCGATAGTAAGTAAAATGAATTCTTGAATAAACGTATTGTTTATGGCAACATTTTTAATTAAACATTCACAATTTATACCATATTATTATTTTTTCAGCATTGCAATGTTTAAAGCAGAGATCATCTAAATTATATAGTTATTGGCGTACTTTAACAACGACCGCTTTCGTGGCGAAGCCGTGACTAAATGATTATTAAACAGAAAACAAAATTATTATAACAGTCCATGTTAAAATCTCTGTTTATTTAGTTCTTGTTTAATTACTTAATTGCATGTACCTTGTCTGCAGTTGCATGCTTTGCAACGGGGATAGTGTCAACCAATTAGCCGCGCTTCACTGACCACGCGCACCTGTGGCGGTATATCGAGATAATTGACACTTAAAAATGGACGTTTGTTGTGAAAACAGGGTGGCGGATGGCGGTATGCGAATTTGGCTTTATAAAGAGAATTTTATATAGCAGGAAAAACGTTCTTGGGAAATCATGGCGGTATTGCGAAAATGGTGATGAATCGAATGGCGATAATTCGAGAATTGACTGTATATGCAATAAAATTGTTGATCAACAGAATTTTGATCAAAGTATTAGTGAAAGGTAGATTGTTAATAATTTCAGATAATATTGATAGGAATAATTTCTATTTTCATGTTTTTATTGAACAGAAGGAGAGAAACAGACAATAATTGACCAGACAGAAACCAATCTGATTGCCCTCAGGAGAACAATCTATTTAACGATCCAGAGTGCCTTAGACTTTGAGGAATGTGCTCACAAACTTCTAAGAATGGAACTCAAACCGGGACAAGAGGTAGATATTGCTTTAGATAGAAAGATGAAATGAATATTCATGAAACTTTCATTATGTCTAGATAGATATCAATATTATTCTCTATTTCAATATGATATGGTTGTTTTCCAGGTTGAGTTATGTAACATGATTCTTGATTGCTGTGCACAGCAACGTACTTATGAGAAGTTTTTTGGATTGCTAGCTCAGGTAATAAATTTTAGATGAGTAGTTATACAAAACATTTTGAGAAAAGGGTACTGTATACAGGGTTGTTTTCACTCCATTTTCACACCCAGTCATAGTTTTGTTTAAGAAATTATACTATATTCTTTGAATTCGCTCAGTTTTAAATTCTTCCAAAATAGGCCAAATGAGGGTAGGGCGATATGGGCGAAAATTTCTCTGTTTACAGTATGTTGCTTGGAGCAATTTCACTGCCTTCATGGTGTTTATTGTGTATTTGTTTTGTAGCGATTCTGTATGATTGACAAGAAGTACATAGAGCCTTTCCAGACCATGTTCAGGGAGCAGTATGACACAATCCACAGACTAGAAACAAACAAGCTCAGGAATGTGGCCAAGTTCTTTGCTCATCTATTGCACACTGATGCCATCTCATGGGAGGTAACTCAATCTGCTAGCTCTTCCTATTGTTTGAATTTTCTTTCTGTAGAGTTTCTATTAAAGTGTCTCAAAATAAGCATATTACAAATATATTTGATTGTTAGAAATTAGAATTAATTGTAAATGAAATATTGAAAAAAAAAACCCACTGTATTGAAGTACTAAGGTGATTTTGTTTTAAGGTTCTGGAGGTCATTAAACTGAATGAGGACGACACAACTTCAGCCAGTAGAATATTTATCAAAGTATTATTCCAGGAATTGTCTGAGTATCTAGGTCTACCCAAACTTAACGACAGACTCAAAGATCCGTAAGTCTCTACCACTGTACTCAATTTAAGACCAACACTAATAGTTTTTTTTTTTTTTATGGGACAAAATTATATGATTGAGAATTTTCTAAGTAATCATTTATTCAACTATTGAATTTAAGAATTTTTAGCTCACCTCAACGAAGTTGGGGGAGCTTATGTAATACCCTCGGCGTCGGCGTCGGTGTCGGCGTCGGTGTCGGCGTCGGCGTCCCGGGTTAAGGTTAAGTTTTTTGGAGCAGTTTTCTTTTTAAGTCATGTTAAGTACTTCTATGTCCTATATTGATTAGACATGCATGGAAGATGGTTCTAGTGTGTTTCATTGTACCAGTCAAAGTTTCAGATGCTGCAATTTTAGCAAAGAAATGACCAGGTTAATGTTTTTGGAGCAGGTTAACATTTTTGGTGCAGTTTTTGGTGTAGGTTTCATTTCCAAGTAACTATAAGCCCTATGTTAACCAAACTTGCATGGATGATACATCTAAGGATGCATACTACCGGGCTTGCTTCGGATGCTGAATCTGACCTACTTTTTCAGGTTGAGTGAACAGGTTAAAGTTTTTTGGTGTAGGTTTCATTTCCAAGTATCTGTAAGTCCTATGTTGACCAAACTTGCATGGATGATACATCTAAGGATGGATACAACCAGGCTTGCTTCGGATGCTGAATCTGACCTACATTTTCCGTTTGAGTGAACAGGTTAAAGTTTTTGGTGCAGGTTTCATTTCTAAGTATCTGTAAGTCCTATGTTGACCAAACTTGCATGGATGATACATCTAAGGATGGATACTACCAGGCTTGCTTCGGATGCTGAATCTGACCTACTTTTTCCGGTTGAGTGAACAGGTTAAAGTTTTTGGTGCAGGTTTCATTTCCAAGTAACTATAAGCCCTATGTTGACCAAACTTGCATGGATGATACATCTAAAGATGGATACTGCCGGGCTTGCTTCGGATGCTGAATCTGACCTACATTTTCCAATTGAGTGAACAAGTAAAAGTTTTTGGTGCAGGTTTCATTTCCAAGTAACTATGAGTTCTTTAATGACCAATCTTGCATGGATGATACATCTTAGGATGCATACTACCAGGCTTGCTTCGGATGCTGAATCTGACCTACATTTTGTGGATGAGTGAAAATGTTAGTTTTTGATGTATGTTTCATTTCCAATTAACTATGAGCCTTATAATGTGCAAACTTGCATGGACGATACATCTTAGGATGCACACTAATGGACTTGCTTCGGATGCTGAATTCGACATACATATTTTTCAGATAATAGACCAGGTTAAAGTTATGGTTGCAGGTCTATTACCAAAAAACTTTAAGGCTTTTATAACATTGTATAAACCAAACTTGCACAAATGTTGCATCAAGAGATGAAAACTCAAATTTGCTTTAGATGCTGAATTACATTTTCATGAAGAAGAACTACTTTAAATTTTTTATGTTGGTCTACTTCAAAGTATCAGATCAAAATTGCTTAGATATTTTCATTTTTGGAATGTACATTTTTTGTTGGTTAATTGTGTGACTTTGCCTTATTTAAAGACAACATTCGTTGAGGTGAGCTCTGTAATCTCTGATTACCTATGTTTAGAAAATAAAGTCATGCTTATGCACGAAGTACGAATATATAGGCATATTTAAGTTTAATAGCAAGTACATGTATGTAATTTGTACATTAACCTGATTTCTACTGCATTACATTGTTCTTTATTTCTAGAACCCTCCAGCCATATTTTGAGGGCTTACTACCCAGGGACAATCCTAAGAATACCAGATTTTCCATCAACTTTTTTACCACAATTGGTCTCGGTGGACTAACGTAAGTGTATATCATAAGAATACAAGCTTTTCCATTAACTTCCTTACCATAGTTGGTCTAAATGGACTGACATAATAAATATAGAAATAAGAATATACCAGATTTTCTATAAAATTCCTGAAAACATTCCTTGGGACTGACCCAATTACAAAGAGAATACATTTTTATAGTTCTTGTATATTACACAATGAGATTACATAGAGATTGTATACCAAAAATGCTTACAAGTAAAGTAAAACAAGCTTATAATGAAGTGCCAGGGATGGGCGATTTTGCTTTGTTATAATTGTAATTTCTTATATCCATTTAGTTTACAATATATTTTAAAGTCATGGGGAATAAAAATCACCTCGCTGTAAGCGTCAGTTCATTTATAAGTGTGTACCAAGTTCAGAAGAGATAAGTTTCTAATAAAACCTTACTTAAATCCCTGCACCCGTTATCGCAAGATTTGTTTATATGCTTTTTAAAAAGGCCTTCAAGATGTATGTTTTGTGTATATGCTTTTTATAAAGGCCTGTAAGATATATGTTTTGTGTATATGCTTTTTATAACGGCCTGTAAGATGTATGTTTTGCTTTTCAGTGATGATCTCAGAGAGCACTTGAAGAATGTGAAGAAACAAGTGGCTCAACAGCAAGAGGAGGAGTCTGACAGTTCATCGTCATCATCTTCTGATGATTCATCATCCTCATCTGACAGTAGTTCATCATCAGATAGCTCCTCAGGTCAGTAGTTCTGGGTCACCTAACACTTCTAGATATTAGCCCTCTGTTTTTATGTTCCAAATTTTAATAGCCATTCTCTGTAACCACTTAAACTTCGTTGCCACGCATGGTCACCGATTTTTATGAAATTTCGCCCATGCTTAGTACTTGACACCAGAAACAAATATCAAACAAAATTTCGTTGCTATGTGTCTTGGTTGCTATGGCAACAGCCGGAAAGTTTGAAAAATCGAGATTTTCAGCCACTTTAAATCTTGACTGTGGCTTAATAAAAACTAGAAAAAGCAAACAAACCATTCTCACAAAAACATGACACCTTGATGTCACTTATACTGTAAAGAAACTGTTTAGAATATATCTTTAAGTAAGTGGTAACCAAGGGTACATTTGGAATACATTTAAAATGCTGAAATATGCTGAAAAACACTCCTTATTCACTAATGGTAGGTGTTACATGCTCAAACTCAATCAACGACTTAAGAAAAACAATGAAAATGTTTGACCTTAAGTATATAAGTATAAGCAATATTATTCTATAAATAACTTTTATGGTTGCCATGGTAACACAGTGTAACCATGCAAAACCAGTAACTAAGATTGGGTTAATGCTACTGTCTTGAGGAAAAACATGAAAATTCAAGACTGGCAAATATGCATCCTTAGGAACTTGCAACACCAAAACCATAAGAAAAATTGGGTATAATTGCTACTTTGCAGTGTTACCATGGAAACAAAGTACCAGTACTTAAAAGTGAATTATTTTTCGCTGCATTAAGAATTAAATTGCCATTTAATCAAGGAACAAATTAAAGGACTCAGCTTAAATAGTACTTATCTGTTAGAACTGAAGTTGAATATCATATATTGATAAAATTTGATGAATAAAACAACACTGTTGCTATGGTTACCAAGAAGAGAAAATGTTCGATTTTGTGAACTTTATATCAATATTAAATCCTGTGTGCCAACTTCTTGCATCCACTTAGAGATTGGATGATAGTCAAAATTAAAAGTCAAGTTAGCTGTTAATAAATATCAATCATAAAAGTTTTGGGAATCTACATTTAAGGGTACGTATCCAAGGAAAGAAAATATTTTTCAGGTTTTTAAGCATATATTTTCTGCTTATTTCCATAGCAACGCTCTATTTAAAGAATCTAATCTGATTTTTTTCAAATGGGAAAACTTTGAGCACACCAACATCTTAGAAAATTGATCATTAGTTATGAGGAAATGTGCTTTTTTTTAAAGATAGGGTCAGATTTAAACATACAGAGTGTTACTTTGAAGGCTGTATGCGGTATAAAAACCTTGGCAACCATTGCCAACCAAGATGAAATATAATATTTTGTTCTTGGTATATGTCTCAAGGCTCTTTTTTCTATTATTTGGTCACATTTCATCCTATAATTGCTTTTTATTTTTACGTGTATGACTTTATAAAATTCAATGAATATTTTTTTTACTTTTGAATACTTTGTTACCATAGTAACGTATGTATTAGTTGATTTACCAAACATGTTTATCATGCATTTGAGACATCTGACCTTCAACTTTTGGAAACAGTCATTGCCAATTGTTTGCTTTGCCGCAAATGTTAACTATGGGGCTCTAAACATGTTAAAAAATGCCATTTTTCGAACTTTAAGACATGTTGCCATGGTAACTATAAAACATAGCAACCAATTTTTCCTTGATTTCAGTTTAGGGTATCAGTGACTTTTATCATAGCGAGTTTGGAGAAATTCTGAGACTATGCATGCCACAGCTCCTATATAAAATTTCAAATCATTACAGAGAATGGCTCTTAAATATATTGAACCAAATGCTCTTCTTTTATATGTTACAGTATAACAGTTATTTTCTGTGTATCACAATTGTTGCAAAAATAAGATTATCATGAAAATAACCTGCTATATTGTACCCATTTAAGAAACGTGTATCAGCACCCCATTTTTGCTCACTGTCAGATTCTACTGTATTGTAAGATGTTTTCCTGTATGCATTACAGACAGCTCTTCTGAGGATGAAGCACCTCGAAAGAAAAGAAAGGGAAAACCAACAGAGACAAGGGAAAGGAGGAGTAAAGAAAAATCCAGACAAGGTTATACCAACGGAGACATACAACAGAGGGAAAAAAGACAAGAGAGGGAGGAAAGCCCTGAAAATGTCAGGAGAAACAGGAGGGAAAGGGAGGAAAATGTGTATGATAAAAGGTCTAAGCAAAGAGGCAGGGATGAAAGCCCACAAAATGGCAGCTCAAACAGAAGAGAAAGGGAGACAAGCCCTGGAAATTACCGATCTAAAAGAAGAGAAAAAGAGAGAAGTTCAGACGTAGTGGAATCAAAAAGGAGGGGAAGGGAGGAAAGTGAAGAAAATTATAGAAGGAGGAATCAACAAGAGAGTCCGGAGAATGTTAGATCCAAGTGGGAAGACTCAAGATCAGATAGGTACAGTGGGAGATACTCTAATGATGTAGATGGAGACTGGAGAGACAGGGAAGGGAGGAATGACAGAAGGAGAAATAGGGATGAAAGTGATGATGATAGATCATCAAGATATAGTGATCGGAGACAAAGTAGAAGGAAAGAGAAACATGCAGAAGAAAATTATGACAGACCTTCCAGAGGGAGAAAAGAGGAAAGGGAAGTGGAACGGAGAAATGGAAGAAGGGCTGAAGATTCTGATGAAGATTACAGATCTAGGAATCGAGGAAGGGAGGAGATGAGGGATTCTAGAAGAGGAAGGGATCAGCAGGAGAATGGGTACAGGGATAGAAGTGAAGAAGATGAGAGAACTCTGATTAGAAATAGAAGTCAGGAAAGAAATAGGGATAAACAAAGGAGAGACGAATCAAGAGAGGAAATAAGTCAGAGGAACAGAGAATATGAGAGGAGACGTGAAGAGTTCAATCAAGGAAGGAGGCCTGAATGCAGTACAGAAAGAAGGAAACGTGGATATGAGGAAGACGACAGGGGAGAGAAGAGGCAGCGAAGAGAAGAGGTGTCTAGAGAGGGCAGGGGAAGGGAGATGGACAGAGAACAGAGGAGAAGGCAAGAAGATATAGAGAAAAGCAGAAGTGGCAGAGGCAGAGATGAGGAGAAAGAGAGAAGGAACAGAGACAGTGAGGAGAGGGAGAGGAGCAGGAGGAATAAAGGAAGCAGTAGGAGGAGTGTGGATTCCTCCAGTGAGGACAGTGACTCCTCCAGTGAGGACAGTGACTCCTCCAGTTCTGATGATTCCTCCAGTGACAGTTCCTCCTCCTCCTCCTCCTCACCCAGTCCTCCGAGGAAGAGGAAGCACTCAGACTCTGATAGTGACAGTGTAAAACATTCTATTAAAAAGAGACGCGATTCTGACGAGTACGAAAAACGTGAGAGGTACAGCTCTCAAAGAGAGAGCAGTGTTCGCAGCAGGGAGAGATCCCACAGGAGATGATAGTTTGATATGCAAGATTAAGTGTATAAAGTGCTATGATCTTTTGATGCAATTTTCATTTGATGAATATGTACATGAAAAATCATGAAAAATATTGTTAATTCATATCTATAGTCTAACCCTATGGGTTTTTTCTAGACTAAAAAAATTGTTTGAATTAAAAAGGATGAAATTTTTTGTCGATCTTTTTTACAGTTATGAGACCCTACTTCTGGTTTTACATTTGGGTAAATCTGAATAAGCTTATTGGAAGTACATGTATCTTTACTTTTGGCATTGAAAATTTGATTATTATTATATAATTAAGTCTGATTGAGGCACAGAATAGTTCAACTTCAAATTAGATTACCATGGCCTAGTATTTAAATTCAATGCCCCACGATGTTTTATCTTGGATACCAAGAAGCCATACATTGTCAAACAATGCCAAAGTTTCCTCAAGAAGACCCAAAAATAAGACAGAAAAAAATCTTTTTTAGGGCATCTGAGTCTCTCAGGTGGCCTACAGCTATCTGTTTTCGACATGCATCATGTCTAATAACTTGGAACATATTCAACTTCCTCTCATTGAACATGGGCAAGGCATATGGTGTTTGTTTAAATGTCATTCCTTCTGTTACACTCTGCATTTTGCTCAGTTACAAGGAAACAAGCTGTAGATTTGTAGCTCCTTTGTATGAAAAAAATTGGATTGACGACTGATCATAAAAAAAACTATTTATTGCTATAATTTCTTCAAATTCATTACTTGACTGTTTTAAAGCTCAGTTTCGAAAAAAATTCCTTAGACCTATGTCAACACCTGTGGTAGCTGGCATCTTCACGAAGCAAGTTGGACTGAATTACTACACATGGTTAGTAATATTTTGATATGGCAGTTTTAAAAACATGGAGAAATAAACTGAGACAACACTTTTTTGTGTGCAATAAATATGGGTACTGAAGCTTTCAGGGCTGTCAATTTTTTCTTCAGAGAGCTACTGTTCTGCAACTACAAAGAAACTATTTCAGATACTTTTTGATGATGCATGATTACAGGCATTCAGGAGCATCAAAGTTTTTTTTACCATTCTGTTGACCTTGCTTTTATATTTGTGCCTAGCTCAATTTCAAAGAAAGTCTTCAAGATAAACTATTCATGATATTATATTAAAATCTTGGAGAGCTGTTTAGCTGTATCAGCATTGCTTGACATTCATTTGGCCTTTTCTTTTTCTGAATGCTTGAAATAGTGCATATTTTTAGCTGTACTGGTCAGAGACCAGAAGAGCTTATGCGTCCGGCATTCGTCCGTCTGTCTAGCTGTCCGTCTGTCTGTAAACAATTTTTTAAAATGCTACTCCTCCTACAGTTTTGGTCTGATTTCAATATAACTTGGTACACAAGAAGACTACACTAAGATACATAATTCTGCGTATGGGTTTTTGATTTCGATGAACGGTGTTGCCGTGGTTACTAAAAATAGAATTTTCTGTAAAATTCTTTCAAAATGCTACTCCTCTTAGAGTTCTGGTCTGTTTTCAAAATAATTTGGCATACAAATAGACTACACTAAGATACATAATTCTGTGTATCGGTTTTTGATTTTGGTGAATGGTGTTGCGATGGTTACTCAAAATAGAAATTTCTTTGAAAAACTTTCAAAATGCTACTTCTCCTACATTTTTGGTCTGATTTCAATAAAACTT